AAATAAGAAAACATCTTGATTCTGCTGCTGGTTGAGCTGAATCAACAATCTACAATTTCTGAATTGAAATGTCAAAAATATAAAACTTGTCATAAACATAAATGTTGAGTTTCTGCCCAGTCACAGTCTGATTTATTCATGTATCAGGAGATATAAACTTTAAAACAACAACAGGAAAATACACAAATTAAAGGGAGAGTTAAAAAACCTTAATACACGTTTCAAGGTCAATTTAACAACCTTATAAAAAGAAGAACTTGTTACGGATATGTCCAGGGATTATAATGTATTATTGTAACGTACTTTATAAAAAGAAGAACTTGTTACGGATATGTCCAGGGATCATAATGTATTATTGTAACGTACTTTATAAAATGGAGAACTTGTAACGGATATGTCCAAGGAAAATAATGTATTATTGTAACGTACTTTATAAAAAGAAGTACTTGTAACGGATATGTCCAAGGAAAATAATGTATTATTGTAACGTACTTTATAAAATGGAGAACTTGTAACGGATATGTCCGGGGATCATAATGTATTATTGTAACGTACTTTATAAAATGAAGAACTAGTAACGGATATGTCCAAGGAAAATAATGTATTATTGTAACGTACTGCGTTTAACTTGTGAACTTTTACATAAAATGTAAACTTTGAACTTTTTGTAAGGTGTAAAGGAAGGAAAAAACCAAACCCAGTGAAACTCTTATCTTTGCTACCTGCTTCAATTTGCCTAAAATTTCAGTTTACAATTTGTGTTTTTACTCATTCTTGTCTCTAAACTTTCTTGCTGTGCTGTTCCAAATCAAGTTAAAACATTTCAAAATTTATTTAGAAATGTATAATAGCGTTGATACGATAACAATGGTTAAAGGAATTACAAAAACAATGCTAAAGTCACGAATTTGATATTTTTGTTCTTTTAATCTACTAAGCTTTAGTGAAAAATTCGCTGCGATATGGATATTTGTTTGTCTTAAAATCCCTTGGTAAATTAAATTCCCTTAACTTCCCTGTTTGTTACGGATTAAAACTAAAATGATTATAATTTTGAAAAAGATGTAGACGTCATTTTTGGAGATCTAGGGATATCTGATCGTACCTTGACAGATTTGTGAAGAATATAATTGTTTTTTTTTAGAGGAAAATTTATAAATTCCGATTGCGTGTTCTTTCTAGAAGAAACGTGTGTATGTTTATGCTGGATTATAGACAAGGACAGAAATCGTCAGAATTAAGACATGTTTAAATTGAAAAACAAAGATATCCTCCTAATTGTTACTCAAATAGAGATTAAAAAGGTACCTTTGTAAATCGGAAATGTCCATGTTTAAATGCAGGGTCGCATAAAATTGCCAAAACAGGTTTCAAATATTAAAATAACTTTATAGGTGAAAAGACGTACAGTCAACTAAATAATACATTATATCTGCAGATAAATAAAAAAAAAATTATTTAATTGATGTTTAAATTGTTTTGTGTTAAAAAAAACTCCTCGACAGCATGCAAGTTGGATTTCCTAACTAAAGTTATGAAAATATTTTTTTTTAGGTGACGGGCGATTTTTTTTTGATATTCAATTGTTAAAAGCACATTGTTAGGTTGGAATACACTAATATATTGAGATAAAACAATTTTTTTGGTAAACAAACAAACAAAGGATTTGATTCGTTGTCACAGATTCAAATTTTCTAATCCCTAGATCTTTGCAACCTGATAGTGTAAACCTTTAAATATTTCAAACTTACATTATTTAATCTAACAGATTTCAAAGTTTAAATCAACATTCGGTTGTAAAAATACAGGGATTAGAAAATCAAAATCTGTGACTAAGACTCAATTTGTATGGATCGAATTGAAAATAAACAAACAAAATTGATTGTGTGCAGACGAAAATGAAAAAGTGTATCTACCAATTTTGTTTCAATCAAAATCCAAAGAAATTAAGTCTGTCACAAATTTGTATATTCCATTTTGATTTTCTTTCAAAGGAACTGAGTCTTTGCCACAAACTGAAATTTTCTAACCCTTATATTTTTGCAACCAAATATTGTAGACCTTAGATATTTCAAACTGTGAATTCTGATAGATCAAATAATCTATGTTTGAAATATCGAAGGTTTACATCATGAGGTTGCAAAAATATAGGGATTGTATAATTTCAGTTTGTGGCAAAGACTCAGTTCCTTTGAAAGAAAATGGAATTTACAAATATCAAGTATTAGAAGTTCTCTGAACAATAGCTTTCACTTAGTGATTGATTCAATTAAAGTTAAACTTAAACCTGATAATGTAAAGGGACTGTTACAGAATCTAAGTTGAGTTTGTATAGTAAGCATTAGAATGTTAACAATACTTAATTCCACTATGTTCGAGTCGCAAACTCTTTTCCAGAATATTGTCCCCCGAAAAAGTGTTCAATGAGTTTTTTAAATATTTTTTTTTAAATAAAACATTTTTGTGTTTTGAAATATTTTCTACTTTAAAATTAAAATTTAAATTAGATTTTATAATAATTTAGGTAAATGCAAACTAGAAATTCTAAAAGAAATTTGTTTTAATTTATTTTAAAAATGTTTTCTATTTGGATGCAGTACAAATTATTTATATTTAAATAAGTAAAAAAAAACTTTTCTCTTTTATGTAAAACTTTGGCACCTTAAAGGGAATGTACAAGAACACTGAAAGGGGGTATAGGCTGAAACCTAAGCATTTTAGAAGTTGATCGAGACCTATGAGAGTTCTATCTGATGTTCCTGATTCGAAAAATTGATTTAAAACTGTGCAACATTTATACGAAAATCTATATATAAATTTGGCTTGTCTGTTTGTTTGTTTGGGTGTCTGTCTGTTTGTATCCAATAAACGGCAAAACGGCTGAAATAGTAGGTTTAAACGGATCATATTTAGCAAATACACAACCAATCTGAAAACAATTATATCCCAGAGTAGCCTAAGAAACTTAGGTTTGCTCCAATTATTATTTGAATTTTATAATTTCTCATTTTTTAATTGATATATTTGATAATGTATATAATGCCATTGGTGGGAACGCACCCTTGACTCTTTAGTAAAAGTAAATTGAACCTAAAGTCTGACCGCGTCAACCTTGTTGCACCCCTAGTCCTATTGAATGTCTGCTTTATTTACCCAATGTCCAGGCGATACAGTACAAACTGGGTCCGGAAAGGTTGACCCGGCTCGGAAATTCAAATGTACTATGGCTGCCCGTGTGAGAGTTCTGAGAAACCATCAGATTTAGGCAGAATAAAGAATATTGCTGCCAGTCTTGCATAGGCAAAGGTTTAAAGTGTACTGTTGTAAATCAGGAAAATTTTAAAACTGAGGGTCACTTGAAATTTCGTTGAAAGTATCTTTTAACCCTATTCCGGCTGGGAGGGGGGGGGATCGGTTTAGACCTTACTTCCGGTCATTGGATTTCGACTTTTTTTAGCTCTCTTAAAAGCCCTGAACAAAGGGGAGCAGAGTGATCAATTTTCGCGAAGAAATTTTGCATAGCTTTTTGCACTGATGTCTTTAAAGATAATTTGCACAGTTCTAGTTTTCCTTGAATACAAATTTAGATTAAAAAAATTTTGCAAACATTTTTGCATATTTCAATTTGTTGTGGTAAGAGCTTCTAAAAAATTTTTAATTTATCATATTTCGCACACTGTTTGGTTTTGCACATTTTTTGCAAAATAACTTCATATTGCAATAAAATTTTGAAATTTTGCAAATTTGCATTTTGTTTTGGCATATATATAAAATAGAGCCCAAGGGCTTTCCAAAAATGTGTCAAATGTTATAAATTTGTATCACAATAAGGAAATAGAGAAGGGGAAGGGGGTAAACTCAAATGTTAATGCTATTTCCCCCAAAATATATATTTCGGCATTAAAAATACATATATTTATACTGATGATTGCATAAAAGCATGAAATAATATGTTTATGAATAAAATGTTGTAAGAAGATTGTTGTGTTTCAACTGATATATTAATACATATACAGATATGGCATCAATGTTGAAATAATAATAGATAATTACATTACACACATTTGCACATTGATTTAAATAACAAGTCAAGAAGCATAATGATTATCGCTTGACTGAAACAATAAGATTCAAATATTAATCAAGCAAAAGCTGAAAGTATACATTTTGTTTAATCTTATATTATTTATTTTTATCTTTAAAAGACAATAATGTTTCATTAAGTTGTTTGTGTTGAACATTTTTTAAGCAACAATTGTTAAATTTGTTTTGGTTGAGAACATTTCTACGAATGTTCCGAATTAATATTGATTGTAAATAGCAAAGGCAGGATAACAGATGGAGCTGGTTATTTCAATTTTAATTATTCTATCAAGAAGTTTTATTTTTTTGGATGCTCCTCATTAATCTGATATATTTCTAGCTAATTGATATCAATAGATTCAGATATATCGAGCAGAAATAGCTCATTTTTATTTCCATAGAATAGTGAATATTTTTTTTTGTATAAAATTTTACTCTGCAATATCTGGGGCCAGTTTTAATGAACAGTGAAAAGTAGCTGAACCTTGCAGACATAGTTCATCCAATTCTCTCGTAAGCCGGTTTTAGCTTGAAATAATCGGTTAAACCACGCCTATACGCGACATATATCTGGTTCCAGGATATTTCTTGACAAGTATAAAGTTTTATTCTTTTTATCTAATACTCTTTGGCAGACACAAAATCTTGTTCTGTATATCTAGATACTCTTTGTCAAGAATAACATTTCATTTCTTCATAATCAAATCTTATTCTGCAAAGCTGGACACTTTGGCGTGAAATATCTTATACTTTATATACTCTTTGGTAGGTATAGCATCTTATTCTGTAAATATATCTAGACTCATTGTCAAGAATAATATTTCATTTTTTATAATTATCATTACTATTATTATTATTATTATTATTATCATTATTATTATTATTATTATTATTTTTATTATTATTATTATCATCATCCTACCTGAACTCACTATAGCTAATTCTACCATCTCCATTCCTATCCACTGTTTCAATCATCTCCTCAATCTCTTTATAGTTTATCTAAACATCACATTAAACATTCTTTTATTGTGACTGTTCATGATTTTTAAGGAGGGAGGGGGTTGTTGTAATGATCACCATGGAACTACTGTTAGGTATTCAAGTCTCAAATACCCTGTTAAATATATTTTGGTGACCATTCCCTTTCAAGATGTCGACTTGTTACTATGAAGGATGAATTGTCTTGTTTATCTTTAATAAAAGATTTCTAGTATTTCATGATTCCAGAATTGAAGAGTTCAAGGTCAGAAAACAATCAGAATAAATGTGGGGTAACTTGCTTTCAAGTTGTACCAGGAGAAAAACAAATTGACTGGAAAATTAGTTTTAAATTGAAAAAAAGAGAGGAGGAGAAGGGGAGGAAAGGAGACGAGGAGAAGGGCTGGAAAGTAGACGAGGAGAAGGTGTGGAAAAGAGCCGGAGAAGGAACATATAGAGAAAGAGGGGGATCTCAAAAACAGAGAAGGAATTCTACAAAACAAAAGAAGGAACTACAAAACAGAGAAGGAACTATAAAACAGAGAAGGAACTCCAAAACAGAGAATGAACTGCAAAACAGAGAAGAAACTACAAATCAGAAAAGGAAGTAAAAAACGGAAAAGGAACTCCAAAACAGAGAAGGAACTGCAAAACAGAGAAGGACTCACAAAACAGAGGAGGACCTACAAAACAGAGAAGGAACTAAAAAACGGAGAAAGAACTACAAAACAGAGAAGGAACTCCAAAACAGAGAAGGAACTAAAAAACGGAGAAGGGACTACAAAACAGAGAAGGAACTACAAAACAGAAAAAGGACTACAAAACAGAGAAGAAACTACAAAACAGAGAAGGGAATACAAAACAGAGAAGGGACTACAAAACAGAGAATGGACTACAAAACAGAAAAGGAACTACAAAACAGAGAATGGACTACAAAACAGAAAAGGAACTACAAAACAGAGAAGGGACTACAAAACAGATAAGGAACTACACAACAGAGAAGGGACTACAAAAAAAGAAGAGACTACAAAACAGAGAAGGGACTACAAAACAGAGAAGGGACTACAAAACAGAGAAGGGACTACAAAACATATAAGGAACTACAAAACAGAGAAGGGGCTACAAAACAGAGAAGGGACTACAAAACAATCAGAAATCACTCACGTGCTTGGTGACTATTCAACACCATAAGAATCTACAACGGCGTTTGGATCTATCAATCTTTCTATGTATCATCTTATGATCCAATTAGATATCCACATGTTAAATTAGCGGTAAATACTAACTTACGCTGAACCAGGGATGGGACATAGAAGAGATTGACTATTCATAGACGAGAAAAGAGACAGAATAAGAACAGAGAAAATATTAATAAAGATGGGAGAAGACAGACAGACAGACAGAGAACGTAGACGGGATGGATACTGGACTGTGATTGAACGGACTAATAAGGAAAAAAGACGACTACTGGATGGATATTAAGGAAGGATTTGGGACAGATATGAGATGAATACAAGACTGGACTTGGGACAGATAACAAGAGAATTGGGAATGTAGGGTCAAAATAAAATAATAAACAGGTTTATAGCTTTATGTGATCACATGTTTGTTAAAAATGATGGAAAATTTAGATTTGATTTAACTTATTTTAAATTTACCTTTCCTGGTAAATGGTTCATCACAAACTTTAGTTCATCAGCAGGAATACAACCTTAACAATAACAAGTTAGTTCATTAATAGAACACGCTGAACCAATTACAGGTAAGTTTGTTCATTAATATAACACGCTATACCAACTACAGGTAAGTTTGTTCATTAACAAAACACGATAAACTAACTACCGGTAAGTTTGTTCATTCACAAAACACGCTATCGCTATAATAGTTTCAGTAGAAGTAAATATTTTCATTTACTGTCATAGCGCCGATATAAGGATTTATCTTTAATTGGATAATGCGCTAGATAGAAAGATAGATAGTACCGCGACGCAATTTCTATTGGTTCAGAATAGACACCAAACACATGGCTGAACCCTGCTTGGATCAGGCGCTAATGGACTCGGCATGCTAGAGTGGCTAAACCACCTACAGGTAAGCTTGTACACTAACAGAACATGTAAAACCAACTACAGATAAGTATGTTCATTTACAGAGCACGCTGAAACAACAAGATAAGTTTGTCCCATTAACAAAACACGTGAAACTAACTAAGTTTGTCCTAAACACTCTGAACTAACTACAGGGTTGTCTATTAACAGAACACGTGAAACTAACTACAGGTTAGTTTCTCCATTAACAGAACACGTGAAACTAACTACAGGTTAGTTTCTCCATGAACAAAACACACTAAACTAGCTACAGGTTAGTTTGTCCATTAACAAAGCACAGTAAACAAACTACAGGTAAGTTTTTCAATTAAAAGCACACGTGAAACTAACTAGAGATTAGTTTGTCCATTAAAGAACACGTAAAACTAACTGCTGGCAAGTGGGTCCGTGCTGATTTGGAAGAATCTAAGTCAGAGCCTGTTTAAAAACGATAAAGAAAACATTTAATTTAACAATTTATAATAATTTAAATTTATTAAAACGAAGAGAAAACATAAAGAACCAAATATCAATTGTTTGATATTCTGAAACATAAAACTTACAATTTTTTTTTAAAAACAAAATCTATATTTGATGTTTATTAGATGAAAATTGACTTGAAAGTATTGGTTCTATTATACTTCTCGAAAATTCTATATTTTTAAATTTTTTCCCCTTATAAAATTGAAAATGTATTTTGAAAAAGGAAAAGGATTCCAGCAGTGGCCTGTTTTTGTTGTTGTATAAATCTGTATATATATACTTTGATTGGGTGTTTGTGTGTTTGTCTTTCCGTTTGTATCCAATAAACGTCAAAACGGCTGAACCGATCGTGAACAAATTTTGTGTGGGACATCACTTGACCCTAGGAAAGGTTTATTGATGAACAAAATTTTAAAAATTTGCCTCCAACGAAATTCGATTTCCATTAAATTTTGAAAATCCTCGAATTTTTTTTTCGAAAATCCGCAAAATTTTATGTTTGTTTTTGTTTTACAATGTATACAAAGAGAAAATAAAAAAAATGAAAATAGAAGACAGGCGCAAAGCGCTCTTAAAGCATAGTAAAAAAAACATAACATTCAAAGTTCAAACTACCTGGAACATGCATTAGGGATAAAATCCCAAAATATAAGAGTTGGAGATGTATAAGCTCTGTATTGCAAGCAATATATTTTGTAAACAAAGATTAATACTTTCAATAAATATTCCTCAGTGCGAACATTGTACAGTACTCTACACCACAAATATGTCAACTAAAGGGTGTTCCACGAAACATTACATTCGCGGAATAATGTTTAATGTCGTATTCCATTTACTGTATTAGATATTAAAGACTTTTTTCAGTTTATTTCGTTAAAAAATCTTATACTCATTTATATTTTATTTTGAAATTATTTTTACTATTACATGCATGATTGCCATATAATACTTTTTGTTATTCTTTTTGTTAAACTTAATTTAACAAATCATGGAAGAAGTCAATTTAAACTATTCACCAACTGTTATGTTTCGTGAGACACCCTGTATCAAAGAAAATGGTTAGAGAGAATGTTTCCAAAAACTTAAAGTTGGGTATCACATGGTGAAACAAAGCCAAATAACTTAAAACTTTTGTTATACATGTTAATTGCTCTCTCTAAAAAACTGTTTTTCAACGCTTACCATCCTCATCCTTGCTGAAGACTCTGAACGTATCCTTGAAATGTATTTCTAGATCTATTTCTCGAACCTTCTCTCTCATTACAACAAGAAAATCCTAGAAGAAATATTTCAAGATAGATTTCTCGAACCTTCTCTATCATCACAACAAGAAAATCCTGGAAGAAATATTTCAAGATAGATTTCTCAAACCTTCTCTATCATCACAACATGGAAGTTTTATAATAAATAATTTTGAACAATAGACAAAAATCGGAATAGGGTTGAATTTTGCTAAATGCTAAAATATTTGTTTATTATAATTAGATTTAGGGGACCTTGTAGTATAATATGATCAGGGGGAAATATTCTTTTGAACACCCTCCTTTGTTCATGTTGAATATTCTCCCTTGTATCGTGAGCTAACCTCAAAATCAATAGTTCCACTGCCATTATCAATATTATTGAGTAAATCTTGAACTTCAACATCTGTAGGATTCTGACCAGCTCGTCTCATTGCATACTGCAGCTCCTGAACGTTAAAGGAATTGTTCTCGAAATTCAAAAATGTAATCCTAAAAAATTTATCTGACCAGCTAGTTATGTGCAAAGTTATAGTATCGTTTTTCTTCCTTGAACATTGTTTATTTTGACAAGATTCTGAAGCTAGAAATTCTTGAGAGACAACAGTTCAAAATTTCAACAAAATTGTTTTTACGACTCTAGAGTCTAGAAAGTAAATATTAATAATTCTCAAATATCAAACAGCTTACAGACAGGGTGTTCAAAGATTACAAGCATTTCTGTAGATATGAAAGGATTTTCATATATCTGAGGCCAAATTTAAAGAGTTTGAGCCCCGGCTTAAATTTAAGACTCGGCTAAAATATGATTGGTTCCACTTAAAATTGTATTCAATGTTTCAAGATTCAAGCCGGCGCTCCATTAAAACCGGTTTTGGGCTAATTTGAAACACGGATCAAATTCATAGAATTCGGACTCTAATAAGTCATGGGTTTAACGTGTACTGTTGTGAATCGGACACTCTACAAATGGAGTTTAGTCACTTGAAACTACGCCAACAGTCCCTTTAAGAAGAAAAACTGTCACACGCAAGGAACATACTAACACAAGGAACATTTTAACTGTCACACGCAAGGAACATACTAACACAAGGAACATACTGACGCAAGGAACATACTAACACAAGGAACATACTAACACAAGGAACATACAAACGCAAGGAACATACTAACACAAGGAACATACTAACACAAGGAACATAATAACGTAANTTATCTATTAAGTCTGGTCATTTTTAATTTTTTTTGCATTTTTTTCTGGACTTTGATAATTTTTTTTTGCTGTTTTATGTAATAAATAATGAACGTTTATAGAACGGATAAGCATCGGACAACATTTTTTCTAAAAGCTCTCCCTTTTTTCAGTGGAGACCCATTTTAAATAAAATTAAATACCATCGATACCATTATATGATTAATGATATTCTTATTTAATGTAAATTATATATACATATAATTATAATTGTTGTATTGTACTATTCATGTTTTCCTCAATATAAATAAATGATAATAATAATGCTATAACTCTACCATGAAGGAGGATTGGGTAAATGTCCAAAAAATCATTTATAAATAATTTTTTAGTCGTGGATTAACGTTGAATACAATTAATCCTGTATTAAAAACAAAACAAAAACCTTGTTTAAATCAAAGTTTGCGTACATGTTGACGTAGCAAGTCCCATAGTTATAAACCTGAACACACCTAGATAAATTACGTTGTACATTGTCTGTAAATCTGAATGCACTTAAAAACAACTATGCAAAACTATAGCTATTAACCTAACCTAACCTAACCTGTAAATAACTACATCAAACCTGTATTGTGATTAGCTTAACTTGATGAATGATGTATGATGTATGATGTATGATGTATGATGTATGATGTATGATGTATGATGTATGATGTATGATGTATGATGTATGATGTATGATGAATGATGAATGATGAATGATGAATGCTGAATGATGAATTAATTATAAATGATGATTGTTGAATGATGAATGTTGAATGATGAATGATAAATGATGAATTATGAGTGATGAATAAATGAATAATGAATGATAAATGATGAACGATGTATGATAAATGATAAATGATGAATGATGAATCATGAATCATGAATCATGAATTATGAATGATTAATGATGATTGATGAATGCTGAATGATGAATTTTGAATGCTGAATGCTGAATGATGAATGATGAATGCCGAATGATGAATTAATTATAAATGATGATTGTTGAATGATGAATGTTGAATGATGAATTTTGAATGCTGAATGTTGAATGATGAATGCTGAATGCTGAATGATGAATTAATTATAAATGATGATTGTTGAATGATGAATGTTGAATGATGAATGATAAATGATGAATTATGAGTGATGAATAATGAATGATATTCCTGGAAGGTACTAATTTTATAAATTAACTAAAACATGCCAACTTGCTAATTATACAGTCTCCTAGTCTTGCAGAGCAGAATTTAGCATGAATCTGATGAAACTACAGGGTTACTCATTTAGGATGAGACTTCAGAGACAACTGTACAGGATTTAATCAGACTTTATGTTAACATTAATGGTTTCCTGCAGCTTAATATTTTAGTTTTTTCTTTCTAAATCACTAAATATACCTTTATCGAAGATTGTTTTCAAATGAAAGATTAACCCTTAAAATCCTTATATTTCAGGAATTTCATAAGCTCTAAACCTTTGTTGGTAAACCTGTATAAAATCAAATTTAAATTCTAAATTCTGATAAATGTATTCATTTGAATATTTGAGCATGTAGAAGTAGAACTAAATATTGAATATCTGACGAGATGACCAAATTAGTTAAATAGTTTTATCAAAGGAATTTTTGTAAATTTAAAAAAACTTGATTTCAAAATGTTTTGTCTAAACTCGGCTTAATGCAATTTTTAAAGAATTCTCCTGATTTTTTTCCCTTAATTTTTTCGCATGAATAAACATATTTAGTGCACGGAGTTTTTTAAAAGGGCAGTGCACTGTTACATACTGTCCAAACTTTGTTCCAATGTTATTTAAATAAAAGTATAAACACATGTATCAAACTCCAATAGTGCAACAGGATGATGTAGGTTTTTGTTGATTCAAAATATCAATAGATTAAATAGTCTAATTTTAGAATTTCAAAGATTAAACCATGAGGATGCGAATACATATTAGACAATTTCAGATAAAGGCTATGGTTTAGTTTCTTTTTCTTATTTTAATAAAAAATTTACCTCGTCTGGTTTTGTTTTTTCTTTGAATCCGCTCATGTTTGTAAATTTTACTTCTGAAAGATGAAAAATAAATATTTGATGTTAAAAGCAAATTTAATTTCTTTATTTAATCTCCAGAGAAGCTTTACTTGAAATATATTTCAGCATGCAAGAACGTGATACTTTCAAAATTTAAGGAGATCTTTTTTATCTTTCATTTTTTCATTATCTACGTCTGCTTATTTTGAACACAGAAATTGCCTCAAACTTTAAATTTCTAGAGTGATATCTATGTCAAAGAGCTTTGACATTTAAAACTAGCAATTCTGCTAGATCATAAAGTGCTATTATTTTCCCTTTATAAAGAAATACAATCATTGAATCTTTTGTCACTTTTACTTTACGAATTATAAAGACTTTTATTTTAAAGTTTTTTTATCTACTTTTAATGGACACATTGTAAGTTTTAAGAACCACATTGTCACTTGCAGCTAAAACTGGTTAAACCGAGGTTTACATATATTTGAAATATATAATCTTCCAATAACATATATATCTATCAATAAATATTTGTTCAAAAAGAATTTGTATTGAAAATGTTTCATACAGAATCATGTTATGAAAAGAAAACCTTATCCATACACACATTTAGAAAATCCACCAACATTAAATATTTGCAAGTTCGCAAAATTTGAAATTTGTGATCAAATAATCGGAAAACTGTTTCAATCATTTATAAACCTATAAATGCATTATGCATCTGAATTCTGACTGTTTTTCATTCAGATTGCATGAACAACTTAGTTTCCTTTTTAACAAAGTTTTACTAATTACTAATTAGTTGCTCAGTTCTTTTATTACTTTGATTGCGTTCTATAATTGAATTAGTTTTTATTTCTCCCCTCATCAAAATAGATTAGCTTTCATGTAAAAACATGCAAATATTTAAATTATAAACACATAAGATTGCTTAAATGTCGTATTCCTATCCCGTAGTGTTAATAATCCCAACTGTACAATGCTTAAACCATGATATTTAGACACTTTTAAAAAACATGTCTGAGTAGAATTCATGCTGTGTCCCTTAAAATTTAGATACTTTATCCCCTATAGAGCGCTAAAGATATTTACTCTCCACTGTGGATTAAATTTAGATACTTTATCCCCTATAGAGCGCTAAAGATATTTACTCTCCACTGTGGATTAAATTTAGATACTTTATCCCCTATAGAGCGCTAAAGATATTTACTCTCCACTGTGGATTAAATTTAGATNATTCGGCCTGAATCACTTTCTTGAAAGAAAGTTTTAGATCAGTAATTAAATTGAATTCAAAAATTTAATTTCTCAGAAAATCAGTAGAAATAAGTTTAACTTGACCCCGATTAAAATCCTGTAATATATATCGGGTTATACAATATTCTGTAAATTGGCAGTATGTTGTACATTTTTATTAATTGATGTTTGTACATAAAAAACCCATTTATTCATTTGAACTGCGTTCTAAATGAATATGTAGCATGTTTAGCTTAATCATGTGATATATATAACATATATCTTAAAGTGCGCCTATTTCTGATTGTTTTGTAATAACGACGTAGGAATTATAATTATGTTTATTGATTTAACTTGTAACCTATAAACCTTACATACAAATTAGTTAGAATCAGAACTCTGCCTTCATTACAGTGTAGAGTACTTGTAAAGTTGTATCCTGTTGAGTATTCTGGTTGAGATTGTACCTTGTTTAGGCTAGAGATCGAATAAGGGCTTCATAGATAGCCAATATAGCTTGTTGATAGCTATGCTTGTGTCCCTGCGTGGCATTTAGAGCCGAAGTAATGGCTTGTTGATAGCTACGCTTGTGTCCCTGTGTGGCATTTAGAGCCAAAGTAATAGCTTGTTGATAGATTTGCTTGTGTCCCTGTGTGGCATTTAAAGCCTGAGTAATAGCTAGATTGATAATCTAGGCTTGTGTCCCTGTGTGGCATTTAGAGTCAGGTGGGTTGTGTCCTGGTTGACTTGGATAACGAATTGACTGCCTGGAATGATACAGTTTGGGGGACGAACTTTTAAGAGTACACTCTTAATTAAAAAGTCGTAATTAAGCGATAAAAAGTCGCCTAATCGGGTGAAAAAGTTGGATGGCACCTGATAAGGCGACAAAACATCGCTTAACATTAATTGCTTATATTGCAGAAGAAGTTGGTGACT